GTGGTTTCTTTCATTATTTCCTTTGCTCTTTTTGTTTCCTTTATTATTTATTTTCCTGTACTTGTTACTTTCATTATTTCCTCTCCTTTGTTTCCTCCCCTCTCATCTGATCTCATTTCCCTGTGTCCTTGGTATGTCATTTCTTCTCTTATTTCCTCTCTATGTATTCCCTTTGTTATCTCTCCTCCTTTCCTTAAATTTTCTTCTCCTCTCCTCAGTTTCTCTTCTTCCCTGAGTCCTTCATGTTTCCTCTCCTTATTTCCTGTGCTGTTTCCTCACTCTCATAAAGACAGAGGTGTTTGGCTCAGTAAATGGAAAGCTTGTTTTGGACCCAGTGGAAAACTCACTCATGTGTTCACCTGCAGAAATGAAGAAGGAGAAGAGCAGCTTCGCCTCAGACGTCTGCAGGTGCCATTTAACTATGCCACCGGAGAGGCGCTGCTGTATGATGTCACCCCCAACATTGAGCCCCGTGACCCGTGCTCCGCCCCCAAGCAGGGGAAGTTTGACAGTGACGCCATCAGTTGCGACTCCTTGCTGGGCTGCATGCTGAATCAGGACCATTCGCTCTATTGCGATCAGAACAGCGCCAACACCCTCAGCAACCTCAATGACATGGTCTTCAAGGATACCAACGCCACACTCAACGTTCCCGGAGACACGGAGCCCAGCCCGGCAGTGGGAAACGTAGTGAAAGCAGAAACTACGGTTCAGGAAATCATGGAGTCCCTGCAGCAGATCTTTGGGGACGGTGAGCTTATCGAAAGTCTGCACGTTGAGCCTGATGAGCTCAAGAGCTGGGAGAGCACGCTGTTGCAGATGAGCTGCCACGGTGGGTTCGGCGACGACCTCAGCGACATTCTCAACAATGACATCCTGTCTTACGTGGAGGAGCAGCTGCAGAAGGATGTCGGACTCAACCTGCCGCAACAGATTGACGGCATCCCAGCCTGCCTCTCTGGTTTGGACCCACTTCAAAACCAGGATCCAGATCAAGGCGGGGAGCTGGACTTTGACTGGGCTCTCGAGACACAGACCCAGCTGATACCCAACGGAGTGCAGATGACAGCGGTCCAGGAGACGATGAAACTGAGCCACATGGACTTTCCTCAGCCTAATTCTTCTGGTCCCAATGGACTGACCTTTAACAACGTCCTGCCAAACAGCTTTCCTCAAACACAAAGTCAGCTAAAGGCCAGCAGCATGGACAACAACCTCGGAGCGTTCCCGCTCAGGCAGCCTTCAACCAACCCAGTGCTTCTTCAAATGATCCCAGCCAACCAAACATTTGGTCTCCAGGACCAAAACAAGGAAGGACAGTTAAATAATGTCTTTACCTTCCAGGGCACCAAGTTCAGCAAATCAGTGACACACCAAGCAGACAGCTGTGGAGAAACATTTGCCTCCAATATTTCAAACAAGGCTGTTTTCTCTTCATCACTCAGCTGCATGCAGAGCCACTTTCCTGTACAGACCCCAAACAGCAACAGTCAGAGGCAGGCGTGGCCTCAGCAGCAGCAGCTGATCACGGGTCAGCAGATGGGCTCTTTCCAGAGGAACCCCACAGACATCGGCTCTCTCAACAAGTTCATGACTCCAGAGACTTCTAATCCACTTCCTGTTCAGCAGATCTTGGAGCGGTCGCCGGCTTCTACAAGCTGTATGTACAGAAATGCCGCCCCAGGACTGCCTGTGAACGGCGTGCACCACAGTCAGCCGAGGTTGAACCCGGCCCCCAGTCAGATTCCCTCCAATCCCTCCTGCTTTTACCAGGTCGGAGGAAGAGCCATATCAGGAATGGCTTCGATCCCAAATTTGGATGAGGCCTCACTGTCCTG